ACAACCCATCCCCACACCCCTACCCGAAAGCCCCACCTTACCTATCACCATCCCCCTCTCCTGTAACCCACACCGCCGGTGCCAACCCCCCTTCCCCCACAGCTTTAGCCCACTACTTTGACACCCTCACCCTCCGCGATCCAAACTGGTACATGGACACCGGCGCCACCCACCACATCGCCTCGGACCCAGGTACTCTTTCTCATGTTCATAATCATTCTTTAAATACATCATCATATATCACAGTAGGTAATGGTTCTAAAGTTCGCACTACGGCCACTGGTAACTACACCTTTCCCACATCCCCTCCCCTTTACTTACAAAACATCTTTGTTTCCCTGCATATAATCCACAACCTTATCTCAGTTAGACAATTCACCCGTGACAACAATTGCTCCATTTAATTCGACTCCACTAGTTTTTCTGTGAAGGATATGCTGACGGGAACCGTGATTCATTGGTCCAATAATGCCGGGCCTCTTTATCCTATGAGCCAAACAGCCGCCCATGCCCAAGCCCAGGTCAACGTTGCCACCGGAAGCTCGGAGCTCTGGCACCATCGCCTTGGTCACTCGAGCCTTACCGTCCTCCGTGGAGTCTCTGGCACCTACTTCTTCTTTTAAACATTTACAGCACTCTCTTTGTCATGCTTGTCAGTTGGGAAAACATGTTCGTCTCCCATTTGAGTCATCGAGTCGTATTTCTACTCTTCCTTTCCAGCTTTTACATACTGGTTTGTGGCAATCGCCTGTTACTAGTGTTACTGGTTTTAAACATTATATGTTGCTCTTGAATGATTATTCACATTTTTTATGGGTTTTTCCTCTTAGAAGTAAATCTGAAGCTTGCTCACATCTCCATACTTTTATAGCTCTTGTGAAAAACCAGTTTAACACTACTATTAAAGCTGTGCAATGTGATAATGGTACCGAATACAGAAACAGGCCCCTACGGAATATTTTTGAATCCTTGGGCATTCTTTTTCGTTTCTCCTGTCCCCACACTAGTAAGCAAAACGGACGGGCAGAACGCACAATTCGTACCATAAATAATATCGTTCGCTCTCTTTTATTCCAAGCCCAACTGCCACCCACCTTCTGGGTTGAAGCCCTACATATGGCATCTCATCTTTTTAACCTCCTACCCACCACCACTCTCCAAAATCGTACCCCCCATGAAGCTCTCTATGGTCTTAAACTCACATATTCCCACCTCCGTGTCTTTGGATGTCTATGCTATCCAAATCTTTCCGCTACAGCACCCCACAAACTTGCTCCCCGTTCGGCCCGTTGTGTCTTCCTTGGATACCCGTCTAACCAATGCGGGTACCGATGTCTTGATCTCGCCACTCACAAAATTATCATTTCTCGTCATGTGACTTTCGATGAGCACTCCTTTCCCTACTCTCATCCAGTCTCACTCACAGATCTTGACTCCGCGGAGGACGATCCCAACTTTCATTTTGTTGCCTAAAACGGGCATTTCTGTTAACCCTCCGTTAGAAACTTAACGGTGACCCAAAACTGGCACATTTCAGTAAAGTTGGGATTATTATGCATCACAGTGAAAGGTGGGATTATTTTTGAAAGACCGGATAAAGTTGGGATTATTTTAGGTAATTTTTATGTAAGATTTGTAAATTCTTACTCGAAAATAGAGAGTATTTATGAGTATTTTTTCTAGATAAAATATATTAAAAGAAGAAAAAATTACATTGCTCAGATTTTGGTAGACTAAATTAGAATGAATTATTTTCTACTCGTTATCAAACATACAAATAAAATACGCCATTCGTTTCAGAAAAACCTTCTTTTCATTTTTTAATCAAACTTTGATATTTTCTTTAATTATAAATTAAATATAGTTTAAATAAATAAATATAATAAAAATTGATATTTGAGAATAATATTACTTCTCCATCCATGAATTTCTTTCTCATTTTCTCTTTTGAACTGTCTAAATTTTTTTTCGCATTTCGTATTTTGGTTCAAAGTCGTTAAAGAATTATCATTGTATCCTAACCTTTTCTTTATACCATTCATTTTATTGTAACAAGACAACCCATGAAAATTCCCCTGGTCAAATTAAACCAGAGAAATTTTTTTAAACAAATTAAAGAGAATATAAGAAATTAGGAATGAACCAAATTATATTTTGAATATACATTATAATTAAATATACTTTTTTATACAAACATTTTCACTCTTCGGCATGCCCGATCCGTGAAGAAGAAGAAGCCCGCCGGAGCAGAAGCCCAGCGACTCAACTCCGTCGCGCAGCCCGGCGCCCCGCCACCTCTTCTTCCACTTTTATCAAAGTAAATTTATTTTCTTTTGTATCATATCATGATCAAACATCTCTATTCGTCTTGATTTTGGATTTCCCCCCATCGTTTCGGTAATTCGGCGCTCAGGATTTATTTCTTTGAGTATTGTTAAATTTCTATGGTTTCATACACAGACCACAGAAAAGGATGATGATCTTAAAGTTGGCACTGGCAGTTGTCTTGGCCTCCGGACTTGCTGCAATTCTTATATTTATGACTGGTCTATCGGATTTCAGTGAGTATACTCATTTGTCTTTGAACACTAATATGAATCACTTTGTTTCAAACATGGAAAGTAGAACCATCATTGAAATGTCTGCAGATTCAGCATTCCATCTTTCCCGCGAGGATTCGGAAGCCTTAGAGTCTCTTCAGAAGGGGTTCCAGAAATGTGTGGTAAGCTCCTCTCTCTCACTTTCTCTCTTAATGATTCATGTGTTTAAACCATGTCAATATCGCGAAACTAAGTTGAGAAGGATTTACTCATTTGTCGTTGTGCCAGTGACAAGTGTGCTAGTTCTATTGCAACTGGCTTCTTGTGAGAGACTAGTAAGCAAATTACCAGTGTGTACTTGCATACCATGATGGCATACCCAAATTTTTACAATGAGGGGAAAAGTTCAAATGCATAGGTGCTCTTTTAGAAATATGTGTTCTTAATTTATAAAAAGATTATAAATTAAGATATATCCCCTGCATCCCATAAAAGAGTCTAGTTGTTGGACATATTTTGTCCCCCAAAAACAATCTTATTAGTCAAAACAAGTTGATATTTATGCTTTATAATAGTTTTTTTTTAACAAAGTGCACATATATTAACTCAAAGAGTACATCAAAGGGTACTAGGCCCAACAGGCAGCCCTTAAGCACTATAGCAGACACATTAACAGCAAGAGAAAATAAAAACTGCACCAGGTGAGCCTTACATCCAACTAGTGCAGTCCCTCACATTCAGCAATTTACCATTATGAGCCTTCAGCCTTCTCATTCCTGCGTCTCCAGATTGTATGGCAATAGGCTACCTATACTGCAACAGTTTCCATCCTCCATTTTCTAGGTTTAATACACAGCAGCTTCACTTGCACATCCCTTAGTGAATCAGCAGATAAGTCAAGGCCAATCCATTCAGAGATTTCCTTAAGTACAGAAACTGCATAAGGGCACCTGCAAATGGTTAGTATCCTCAGTATCATCATCACATAGAGTACATGTAGTATCAATCTCCACAAATTTGCTAATTCTGCATTTTGTTTGAAGCCTCCACAAATGTGCTTCATAACAGTTGTACCTTACTAATATTTAAAAGTTGCGCACCCTTATGAAATCAGACTCTTTTATGGGATTGGAGGAGTAAATGTTAATATGTGCAATAAATTAAGAACTTCCACATAGTCGGGAGAGAGAGAATTGTTATATAGATACACACACACACACACACACACTTTATTTTGACGAGACCTTTCTTTTAATAGTTTTTATAAAATATGTTTTTGTAAGGACCTAATGTAGCCATAGAGGTGGCTAGGCGCATAGGTGCTAGGTGTTTGCCTAGAGTCTCATGGGCGCCTAACGATGTACACACCATTGCAAGATAGAGTAATAATTGCCATAGTCATGAAGGCAAGAAAATATATCTAGAAGCTTTGTTAGATTATTGTAGACTTTTTTGAAGGTAATCATTAAGATATTTCATATGGAGTAAAAAATTTATCTTGATCTTGTTCCCCACCTGCTTTCTGGCTGTAGTTTTGCTTTTCTTGAGGAATGCACTCATAAGCTGACTTGATTATGCAATTGGGAATCTTATCATATGAGGCAACTTTTTTGATTATTTTGTGGCTCTCTTTGTGCTCCTTTCGTGCATCAGTTGCATTGCATGCATGATATTGACATTATTTATTGAGAAGCCATCATTTTAGATGGCTGTATTAGTCTTTATATTGTCCTTTTCAAACTGTCTTTTAATTTTCTGCTCAATGTTAAACACACTGCAGAGTGTAAATGGATTAGGTTTACAAGCTGAAATGGGAAGTAATTTTTGTGAGATCACACTAAGGTTTCCTAGAGAAACTGTCCCAATGTGGGTAAGTTTTCTTGAATTCAAGCTGATGGCTATAAACCACCGAGAATAAAGAATAATATAAGTTTTAGAGAGAGAGAATGCAAAGTAGGAGTTTATTCGTTCTAAATTTTCGGTCCATTACAATGAGGGGTCTCGCCCCTTTTATAGGGGATGCAATACACATAGTCAAAGTTCTCTGATCGAGGTTCGTCGCCTAGCGGACGTCATCTCTGTCGTGAGTTGTCCTTTTCATCGCGTTGCTATCGTGCAGTCAACGCGGCCGGTCGCTTTCCTCCCATCGCTGTCATGACGCCTAGCCGAGCTCATAGGCCGAGCCGAGCTCATAGGCCGAGCCGAGCTCATGAGACGAGCCGAGCTCAAAAGCCGAGCAGAAAGCTCTTCCACGTGGGTGATTAGGTCCGGGCGACGTGTCTTTTGGAATCCTCCTCCATCATAAGCCCCCCACTCTCCGGGTTTCGTTGCAATCGGCGATGAGGCACGAGAGAGTATAGGTACTGTAGGAAAGCGGCGCGGGGGCCCACGTGGAAGAGGTTGGCAGGCCACTGGTGCCGTTTGGGCTTCCGCCATCATGAAGGGGTGCGCCTTTTCGCCTCCCTAGGCCAAGTGGCGGCCCATCATTGCACCCATTCAACCCTTCCTCTATAAATATCAACCCCACCCCTTTCATTCCCCACCTTTTAGAGAGAGAAAGTAGGGGATTTCTTATGCCGTCGCTAGCCTTCTCACCGTCGTTCTCGTCCACCTCCCGGCTCCGTACTAGGTTAGTCTTCCTCGTCCTTGTTCTTCCATGTCTTCCCAATCCTCCGTCTTTCGTCAGTCCGAGTCCGAGCGCGTTGCTGAGGGCTCTGTCACCGGCCCCGCGCAGGAGAGCGACTCCCGCTCGCCCTCCGTCGAGGAGATAGCCGAGGCGGTTGAGGTCCCTCTTCAGTCCGAGCCTCGTAACCAGAGGCGGACCATTCTCGAGGACTCGGGGATCCGAGCGCAAAGGTGCACCCTTACTCGGGAGGAGTACCGCAAGGCGAAGCGCCTAGCCTCGGCGCCGGGCGTTACCGTGCGCCGTCCCACTTCCGAACAGTCAGTCTTTGATGCTCCTCCGGGTTGCTTCGCCATCCACCTCAAGTCCCTTGAGTACGGGTTCCGCTTCCCCCTCCATCAGTTAGTCATAGATTTTTTCCTCCATTTTGATTTTCTCCCTTGCCAAGTCGTGCCCAAATCCCACCGTTACCTGGCGGGATTTCTTATTCGTTGTCAAGGGACCGGGGTTCGCCCCGATCTGGCTCACTTCTTGTTACTCTTCCGGTTGGCGAAGTCATCTGGCCGGGCGAACTCCGACTCGGGCTCGTATGCCTCCATATTCCAGAGACAGGAGAAGCTCTTCAGGACGAGGAAGGACTCTGCCAAGAGCTGGAAAGGGAAATTCGTCTTCGTTTCTCTTTCCTCGGGTTCCCCCTTTCGTAAAGAACCCCTCAGCTCCTTTCGCCGTCGCTCCGCGTGCGTCACCTCGGACAAGATGCTTGAGGACGTAGAGACGCTCTGCCGAGGGGGGCCCTTCGAAGTCGGTTCGATAGTAACGAACGATGCTTTAGCGGCACTCGGCTTCGTCTTCCTATCCCCGGATGATACTCAGCGGAGCATCGAAGAAGGCCCCTCAGGTCAGTGCAATCTCTCCTCCTCGGCCATCCGTGGGTCGCGACTACCTCGGATTCCCCCGCGTCGCTCTTTTGCGGCTTAAGTCCTCGCCTCATCGCTTGTCTTTTTTGGTTTGTGCAGGTGAAATCATGCTCTCCAGCGCCGAGCGACTAAAGCTCATGACGGCCCCTAGCGGCAACTCCCGGGTTCCTACCGTGGCTGGTCGTCCTCCGACTCCCCCCGTGAAGCCAACCCCCCGAGGCGGCCCAGAAGAAGAAGAGAAAGGAGACGGCCTCGGCCAATGATACTCCCCAGGGGTCCGAATCGGGCTACTACTTCCTAAAGCCGGTGGGCTTTATACAGTTCCGCCGGAAGGGACGTCCCCAGAGGAAAGACCTGGCCCTGATGCTGGGCCTCTGGAAAGACGCGTCGAACTGAGGAGAGTGGCTAGCCGCCAAAATCCAGGACGTCGACCGGGAAACTCTGGCCTCGGATATGTTTCACGAGATGGGCTCGGTAAGTTTCCCTAGTCATACTTTATAAATGCAACTCTTCTGCGGCGCTCACCCCTTATTTACCTGCAGGCGATGATGCGCATGGTCGACATGAGCCAGCGGCTGCGCACTAGCGAGGCCGACCGAAGCAGGGCTTATGTTGAAATAGCTGACCTCAACGAGGCGCTAAAGGCGGCCAAGGAGCAAGCTCGCCAGGCCGAGGAGCGGGCCCAGCAGCTCGCGGAGGAGGCTGCTCGCAAGGCGCGCCAGGAGGCTCGCGATCAGGCCGTCGCTGAGTTCCTAGCATCGGATGCGTTTCATTTCAGGAGGAAGCCTTCGCTCGCATGAACGATTTGCTCAAGGCATGGGGGCAGACTCCTGAGGGGAAGGCATTCGCTCGCTCCGAAGGGACGTCGTGGTACAACCTCGGTTTGTTCCGAGCGCAGCAGGTCCTTTCGGACAGGTTCCTCGCCGGGGAGGACTTCCCCGAGCCATGCGGCAATCCTGATGAGCTCGACACTTCCATCTACTACACGAATGGCAGGAACCCAGCCGGCGAGCAGCCGAATGCCGAGTGATATGACTTGAAGCTTTGTTGTATTTGATGTAATGGTGCTCAAGACTTCGTTGTTTTGTTTTTTTTTTGAATTCGGATATGTTATGACTCGATGCTTTGTATGGATGTGCTATGCTCTTCTCTTTTGCCTTTAATTTTACTGCCTTCGTCGTTTCTTTTAACTGGCGTGCTCGCCCATTCCCGTCCGACCTGAGCTCGGCCACGCCGAAGAGAGGTCACTTTGGGACTTGGTCTCTTTTCTGTCCCCTCGTTATCCGAGACAACCTTGGGTCTTGGGACCTTTTGACCTGCCGTCAGTTTGACCGTCCCCATGCTGCCACGTGTATCGTCCCCCCCTGGGCAAGATGCCTATATAAGGGGGGGTCCCCATAATTTTTTTGCACTCACCCTTGGATTTCTACAAATCTTGCCATTCCGCGCTCGGCACCCACTCCTCCCGATTCCAGTGAGATGCGAGGAGAGACGCTCTCCTTCGGCAGCTACTCCCTCGGGGGCTCTTCTGCTGTTCCGACCAAGTCGGGGCCGAGCTCGACCCCGCTGCGCTCTCTGCGGGACTCTTGGGACTCGGACTCTGAGTCCGAGTCGGTACACCACGATCCTTCTGCCAAGATCCCGGGGTTCATCTACTATTCGTCGGAGGAGGACAAGAAGACCCCATCTCCGCCAGTTCCGCCGGTCCGTCGTGAGGTCGTCGCCCCTCCGGTTCCTGCCGGCCGCGGTGGCCGAGGCCGCCGCCCTCCAGCTCCTCCCGCAGCGGTTCCGAGCGAGAGCTTTGTGGCATCCCACCATCCGAGCCGGTGCTTCCTTGAAGACCCAGGCTCGCCCAGCTATGACGAGTCTACCGGGCACTCCGTCGTCAGTCGGGCTCCTTCACTTTCCTACCCCCCGCCTTGCCCATGCGAGCGTGGGTGGAACTGTGGCATGCATTGAAGTTAACTCTTGCTTTAATCATTGTAATGTGTTTAATTATTGTAAGGCGTTTGTGCCATGCACTTGCCCGTTTTCCGAGATGAATAAAATTTGGATGTGATTAAGTCTTGCTTTCACTTTTCGCCCTTAGCTTTCAGGGTTGCGCTCGGCTCTTCCCATGAGGAGGAGTGCCGAGCACGTAGGTTAGACCTTTATTCAGGAAAAGCATTCGTACATGGTCTGCGCTCGGCTCTTCCCCTGAGGGGGAGTGCCGAGCACGAGTGTTTGACCTTCATCCGGGAAAATCGTCCGGGTATGGTCTGTGCTCGGCTCTTCCCCCGAGGAGGAGTGCCGAGCACGAAGGTTAGACCTTTATCCGGGAAGAGCCTCCGGACATGGTCTACGCTCGGCTCTTCCCCTGAGGGGGAATGCCGAGTATGAAGATTTGACCTCCACCCGGGAAAAACGTCCGGGCATGGTCTGTGCTCGGCTCTTCCCCTGAGGAGGAGTGCCGAGCACGAAGGCTAGACCTTTATCCGGGAAGAACATCCGGACATGGTCTGCGCTCGGTTCTTCCCCCGAGGGGGAATGCCAAATACGAAGGTTCGACCTCCATCCGGGAAAAACGTTCGGGTATGGTCTGTGCTCGGCTCTTCCCCTGAGGAGGAGTGCCGAGCACGAAGGTTAGGCCTTTATCCGGGAAGAACATCCGGACATGGTTTGTGCTCGGCTCTTCCCCCGAGGGGGAATGCCGAGTACGAGGATTAGACCTTGTTCGCAAACAAAATTCCATTTCATTGAATTCAATCATGGTGTTGCGGGTTCCCATTTTCGGGCCCGTGTACATTTCTATTGATAAAACTTAATCAAATTCTCGGCATTCCAAGTCCTGGGCACATCCCCTCCACTCGGCGTCTGCAGGCGGAACGTCGAGGGGCCTACCACTTCTTTGATAATGTAGGGGCCTTCGTAATTCTTGGCAAATTTTCCACCTTCTAGGGGGCGGCTTACAGACCTCTTGCGCAGCACCCAGTCTCCTTCGGTGAACCCCCGAGCGCGCCCACGCCCGTCATGGTAGCTCTTCACCTTCCTTCGGTAATTTTCAGCCCGTATGAAGGCCGCTTCTCGCCTCTCGTGTACGAGATGAAGCTCGGCTGCCAGGGCTTCTTCGTTACACTCAGGGTCTAAGATTTCCTCCCGGTGAGTAGCGATGGAGATCTCCGCAGGAGCCCTCGCCTCGAATCCGTAGCACAAGGCGAAGGGGGTTTCCCCGGTCGCCCTCCTAGGCGTGGTCCGGTAGGTCCATAGGATGTAGGGCAGCTCCTCTGCCCACTCCCCTCCACAAGCTTCCAATTTCCGCTTCAGACCATCAATTATCGTTCGGTTGGCGTTCTCGACCTGACCATTTGTTTGAGGGTACCCGACCGACGCATAGCTGTGCTTGATCCCCCAACTCTCGAGGAAGGCGCTGAATGGCTTTGACTCGAATTGTGTCCCATTGTCGGTGATTATGTGCTCGGGAACGCCGAAGCGGCAAATAACTTGCTTCGCGAGAAACTTCTGGCATTGAGCTCCGGTGATGCTTGCCAGTGGGGCTGCTTCCACCCACTTAGTAAAATAGTCAATGGCTACGATGACGTACCTCACGCTCCCGGTATCCCTAGGGAGCGCGCCCACGAGGTCCACCCCCCATCGTGCGAACGGAATAGCTGTGCTGATGGGGGTATAGCTTGTTGAAGGCCTCCCTGGTACCTTGTGGAACTCTTGGCAAACCTTGCATTTCCTCACAAACTCCGCGCAATCCTTCACAATTGTGGGCCAAAAGTATCCTTGGAGGGTTATCTTCCTTGACACCGCGTATGCTCCTTGGTGGGCGGAGCAGATGCCTGCGTGCACTTCTTCCATGACTTGTTTCGCTTTAGTTGGTCTAAGGCACTTGAGTAGCGTCCCGTTGTATGCCCGCTTGTATAGCTTCCCGCCTTCCAATGTATACCCCGGTGCCCTTGTTCGGACCAACTTGGCTTTCACTGCATCGTCCGGGAGGACGCCATCCTTCAAGAAGGCAACTATGTCGTTCCTCCAATCTCTGGGCCTGTCACAGATCATCGCCACGGGGGAAGCGTGAATGCTTGGCTCGGACAACTCTTCCACGTTCGCCATCCGCCTGATGTGCTCGGGCGTGTCTGAGCTCAGCTTTGACAAGATGTCTGCCTCGGCATTCTCTGCCCGAGGAATCTGCTCGACACTATACGCGGTGAAGCTCTTAAGGAGTTCCAAAGCCGTATCCCTGTATTTCTTCATTCTTTCGTCCTTCGCCTCGAACTCTCCCGAGACATGGCCAACCACCAGCTTCGAATCGCACTTTATCCTTAGCTTTGTCGCGTTCATCCCGGCTGCTAGGCGTAGCCCGCACAAGAGCGCTTCATACTCCGCCTCATTATTCGATGCCTTGAAGCCGAATCGCACCGAGTAGTATGCCCTGAAGCCTTCGGGAGCGATGACCACCACTCCACCCCCCGAGTTTTTGGCGGCGGAGGAGCCGTCGGAAAAAACTGTCCACCAATCATCGGTTTCAAGTGTAGGGCTCGGCTCTTCTCGAGCGGTGCACTCTACCACGAAGTCGGCCAGTGCTTGTCCCTTGATCGCCGGTCTTGGCTTGAACTCGATTTGGAAGGCTCCAAGGAACACCGCCCACTTGGACATGCGGGAGGGCGCGTTCGGGCTCCTGAGCAGCGCACCTATGGGCTGCTGGGAGAGCACCTGGACCGGGTGAGCTTGGAAGTATGGCGTCAACCGCTGCACGGTTGACACTACGGCCAGGACCGTCTTTTTGGCCACAGAGTACCTGAGCTCGGCGCCCCTCAGCGTCTTCGCCGTGTAATACACTGGGTGCTGAGCTCCGCCTACCTCTCGGACCAGGACCGAGCTTAGCGCCTTGGGCGACACTCCCAAATAAAGATACAAGGTCTCTCCGGGCTCGGGCTTGGCAAGGACAGGTGGGGAGAGAAGATAAGACTTCAGAGATTCAAAGGATTGCTGGCAATCTTCCGTCCATACGAATCCTCGAGACTTCTTCACAACCTGGAAGAAGGGAGCGGCTCGGTCCGCCACTTTGGAGAGGAAACGGCTGAGCGCCGCCAACTTTCCGGTCAGGCGCTGCACCTCCTTGACATTTCGCGGAGCCTCCATGTCAAGGATGGCACGCACCTTCTCTGGGTTGGGCTCGATGCTGCGCCTGCTCACCATGTGTCCCAAGAACTTCCCGCCTTGGACTCCGAACGTGCATTTCTTCGGGTTCAGCCGAAGGTTGTACCTCTCCATGATCTTAAAAACTCCTTCTAAGTCTTCTGCATGGGTAGCCGCCTGCTTGCTCTTCACAATCATATCGTCGACGTATGCTTCCATGCTCTTCCCGAGGATGGGCGCGAAGAGCTTGCTCACCATCCTAGCGTAGGTTGCCCCGGCGTTCTTGAGTCCAAAAGGCATGACCTTGTAGCAATAAACTCCGCCGGGAGTAGTGAAAGACATCTTCTCTTCGTCTTCGGGGTGCATTTGGATTTGGTGGTACCCGCTGAATGCGTCCATGAAACTCATGAGCTCGCAACCCGCCGTCTCGTCTACCAGTTGATCAATATTCGGGAGTGGGAATGGATCCATAGGGCATGCCTTATTGAGGTCGGTGTAGTCCACACACATCCTCCAAGTGTCTCCCTTCGGAGCCAACACCACGTTCGCCATCCACTCCGGGTACTTGACTTCTCTGATATGCCCGATGCTCTGGAGGGTGGCGACTTCCTTGGAGACAAACTCCCTCCGCTCGGGCGAGAGGAAACGCTTCTTCTGCCTTACCGGCCTAGACTCCGGATTGACTGCTAGGCGGTGACATATGATCTTGGGGTCCACACCTGGCATATCTCCTGGCCCCCACGCGAAGATCACACGGTAGGCGGCGAGCACGCCCACCAAGCGTTTCCGCTGGCTCCCCGTTAGGCTCGCCCCAACTTTAACCCTCCGCTCGGGTGCCCGCGGGTCGAGCGGCACTTCCTCGACTTCCTCGGCGGGCTCGGCCTTCGGCCGTGCTTCCATCTTGCGCATTTCCTCCTGCGCGTTCACGACCAGTGTCTCATCTCTTGGCAACTTCTTTGTGATCCGGACGTAGCACGACCGGGCTAACTTCTGGTCTCCCCTCACCACCCCGATCCCGGACGGGGTGGGGAACTTCATGCACAAGTAGTACGGGGAGATCACACATTCCAAGTCCTCAAGGCCGGGCCGTCCCAGGATCATGTTGTGCGCGCAATTGATGCTCACAACCATGAACTCCATCTTCAACTTGGCCTTGTGCGCACCATCCCCTATTATTACGGGCACGGTGATGACTCCTTCGGCCTCGATGGAGTCCCCCGTGAAGCCGGAGAGGGGAGTGCGTACGGGCTTCAAGTCCTTGCGATCCAAGCCGAGGTCTTGGAAAGTCTTCTCATACATTATGTTAACTGAGCTTCCCGTGTCCACCAAGGTGCGGTGCACTATGGCATTGTTAATCTCCATCTTCATGACTAAGGCATCCCGGTGGGGGCTTGGCGTGTTTGGAAGATCCTTCTCCGTGAATTGGATCTGCTCTCGTCTTCCGAGCTTGGGCACCGGCGCTTGATGGACCTTGGCGACAAAGGCCATGTGCTTCCACCTCTTCCTTTGAGCGACGGAGTCCCCGCCAATGTTTCCCCCATGGATAAATCTCACCGGATATCCTTGGGCTTCGTCTTCGTCTAGATCGTCGCACTCCCGCCCGATGTGCCTCTTCTCGGGGTTCCTTGCCTGTGTCGCCACTGCGACTGGCTCAGTCGGCTTCCTCCAAGTTCTTCCTTCCGGCGGCCCCCGGGAGGGGGTAGCGGCGTCGTCTCGCGGAGGCGGCCCTCGGGCGATGAGTCGCTGCATTTCCTTCTGAAGAGTGAAGCATTCCTTAGTGTTATGAGTGTTGTTACGATGGTACTCGCAATACTTGGCTCCGCTGGCCACCGCGTAAGCCTCTACGTGAGGGAGCGGGGAGAGGGCAAGCTCTCTACCCGTCCCCACGGGGGCGCCCACGGAGTACACTCCGGCCGAGGGCATCCTCGGGCCCGCGGTGTAGTCTTTCTTCTTCTTCCTCTTCTTCGCGGTCTCTACCGAGTCCACTGGAGCTCGCTTGGCCGGTGCGGCCTCGGAGTCTGGGGCGTCGTCGAACTCCTCCGAGGCTAAGAACTTTGCGCGCGCCAAGGTCTCTTGGTACGTGGGGGGAGGATTCTTGCAGAGCTCCTTCCTCACCTCTCTGCGGGGAAGGGCTGCCTGGAACATGGCAACCAACGCTTGGTCATCCGCCCCAGGCACGTCTCTGGCTTCCTTCTCCCACCGGACTATGAAGTCGCGAACCTTTTCTCCCTTGCGGATGCATATGTTGAGTAGGTGGGAGTAAGGTAGCCTCTGCCTTCGATTGGCCGCGAAATGCGTCAAGAACTTCTCCGCCAGCGTATCCCAATCGTCAATGGTTCCCTTCGGGAGCCGGTTGAACCAATCGCACGCGGAGCCCTCCAGCGTCGCGAGAAAGCATCGGCACTTGACCTCGTCCGGGGCTGCCGCCGCTTCCATAGAAGCGTAGAACTTGGACAAATGATCTTGGGGGTCCGTCGTTCCGTTGTAGGCCTTGATCTGCCACGGCCGAAAGTTTGCCGGTAGTGGAATCGACATGACCCTCGGAGTGAACGGGGTCACCGTCCGCAAGATAGGCTGGCTGTAGGGAGCTCTGGTCTCCACTCGGCGCTTTAGCTCGGCAATCTCATGGGCGAGCCGAGATACCCCTTGGTCAGAGACTTTCGTCTTCTCAGTTCTCGTCGGGCTATGGCGTCGCTGGGTGCGCTCGTCCCGCCTCTCTCCGCTCCGCTCGGGCCTCGCCGAGCGGGCATTCGATGTTGCGGACTCCTCAGCATGCCTCCGCCTACCTTCGGTTATTTGTCGGTGGAGGTCGCCCATGCGACCATCCGGTCCGCGGTCGAGCCTGTCGAAGGCCGACACCCGTGTTTCTTCGCCTCCCAAGCGTCTGAAGGCTGACACTCGGCCTTCGCTGGATTCATCCTCTTCTCCTTCCGGAACGTCCTCCACAATCACTTCCTCGATCGCCGGGGCCTTGCAGGGCCTCCTACTACTCCTGGTCTTCTTCCCCTTGTGCTGGGAAGTGGCAGCGAGCTCGGCGTGGGGTCCGGGCGGAGCTTTTCCTGCTCCGACGCCGGGCACGTTCCCACCCAAGGCAGAAAGTGCCGCAACGGCCGCCTGGAGCTGCTCCGCGGTCACCCCCAAGCCGAACAGCGCCTGGACCGCGTCCGGAGTCGAGCCGATACCTCCCGTACCGTTGCCGCTGGCCGGTGCGTTCTCCTCGCCAACTACGTGGCTGGTGGTGGGGACGTTGCTCCTTGTTTGCACCATTCTCGTGTTCGGGAGTTAACCTACGAGTATGTTCCTCTCCTCTCAACGAGAGCACCAATTTGATGGCTATAAACCACCGAGAATAAAGAATAATATAAGTTTTAGAGAGAGAGAATGCAAAGTAGGAGTTTATTCGTTCTAAACTTTCGGTCCATTACAATGAGGAGTCTCGCCCCTTTTATAGGGGATGCAATACACATAGTCAAAGTTCTCTGATCGAGGTTCGTCGCCTAGCGGACGTCATCTCTGTCGTGAGTTGTCCTTTTCATCGCGTCGCTATCGTGCAGTCAACGCGGCCGGTCGCTTTCCTCCCATCGCTGTCATGACGCCTAGCCGAGCTCATAGGCCGAGCCGAGCTCAAAAGCCGAGCAGAAAGCTCTTCCACGTGGGTGATTAGGTCCGGCCGACGTGTCTTTTGGAATCCTCCATCACAAGCTATTCAATATTGTTCTTCGTACATTATTATTGCACACAAATGAAAGCATTCGACTAGTATCTCCTATTAGTGTCATTTTTATTTTTCCACATTCAATAGAAAGATCCAAAAACAGGAGAACTTGAGGGACTGGCATATCCGTTTAACTTATGTGAAGCTGTGGCTACATGGGAACAGGTTGGTATGTTTTTTCTTTATTTTTTTCCTGACAATTGAAACCTAATGCATAAGGTCATTTTCATGATAAGTTTTCTTCATCATTGATGCCTAGTGGAATATAATTCTGGCTCTTTTTCTTATGAACCAATAGTAAAAGTATACTCCTACATGTTTACATCTTAATATTGTTTCAAAGAAAAATAAAGAAAATGACCCTTATGAACTGCCTATTTATTACTTCCAAATTATGGGTTCAATACAATCATCTTAGTGCATAGTGAAATGGCTTGACCAGGTAAGAAATAGTACAAGAGTACTGACGAGAGAGTATATTGATAATCTTCCAAATGGATGGGAGGATTATGCCTGGAGAAGGATTAACAAGGGCATACAGTTGTAAGCATCGGTGATTTCTTCAAACTAAATCCTTTCTGTCTCTCATGTTATTGAAAGGTACACGTATTGTCAATTGACCCGATGTTTCAGGGCTATAACCAAACAGGTTCAAGCTGAGTTTAAGTTATGTTTGGGGTTTTTTGTTAAGGATTTCAACTGTTGGATATCGTTGTTTAACTGTTTGATAAGGATTTTAACTGTTTGATATGGTTCATTTAGTCGGGGCCTTTCACAAACAACCCTTTTTACCTTTTCTAGGTAAGAGTAAGGTCTGTGTATACTCACCCCGGCCCCCAAACCCCAATTCATGGGATTCTACTTGGTCGTTTGTTGTTGTTGTTATTGTTGTTGTTTGAGATCATTCCTTTACTAAACAAAAGAGTATTAACTGAGGCAAGCCGAATCAAACATAAATTTTGTGTCCGTGTTCGTTCGTTTATTGTTCACGAACAAGATCATTTTACATTAGCGAACAAATGAAATGCCCTTGACAAGAATCAAACATACAAAGAACACATCTTCACATGATTGATAGAATAGAGTTACATATCAAAAATGACAACTCACAACTAAATGTATAAATTATACATGATATCTTATCAAATGTGTTCATGGTTATCCCTGTTTAATTTTAAATATAAAAGTTTATATTGTTCCTGGGCCGTACACATTAATAATTAACAGATCAAATTTGGTGCAATCATGTAAATGATTAAAGGTTAACCTTGTTTATAATCAACTTTATACAAGCTTTAACCCAGCTTGCTCGTGGGCAGTTTTGAAGAACTTTAAATGATCTATTCGCGAGTTTTATCAAACAAACTTATAGCTGTTCAGGCTTTGTTTGTTTGATATTCATACTATAAACCAAGTATTGTTTGTGTCCATTTAGATAACAAATGAACATGAACAATCGATCACGTAACAAGGTTGAACACGAGCTGTTCACCAAATGCTCTTTTCACTTACACCCCCAGATGCTTTAAAGATGCTATTTTTTGTCATCATAAATGTATTTTCAGCTTGCACACACACTACTTCTTTAATGCAGGAACCATTGCAAGAATAAAACCCTATGCATGGAGAAACTGTCTCTAGTAATCCCTGACAAACCACCCTTCTTTCCAAGGCAGTATGACCGATGTGCTGTAATTGGTAACTCAGGTGACCTTCTCAAAACAAAGTTTGGAAAGGAAATAGATAGTTATGATGCTGTATTCAGAGAGAATGGGGCTCCAATTCAGGTTAGATGACCTTATTCATTTCTGCTTGTCTGTGTGCGTTTTGAAACTACGTTTTCCCATTTCTACAGAACTACACTGAATATGTAGGCTCAAAAAGTACATTCCGACTTCTCAATAGAGGTTCTGCTAAAGCTATTGATAAAGTAGCTGAGTTGAACGGTATTGCCCTCGTTCCCTTGTTTTTAGATCTCGGCACCTTACTATGTGTATGATAACAATTTTTCTTAATTATGCAGATGCTTGTAAGGAGACCTTGATTATTAAAACAACAATACATGATATCATGAACCAAATGATTCGAGTATGTAACATTTTTTTGCTGCTTTGATTTTGCGTTCTATTCCAGTTAGTTGGACAGATAGTAAACAGTGGTGGATAGGAGGAATGTTGTAAAATAGGATGGATGCCGTGTCAGGATGCACCCCTTCGTCTAAATTATGTGCCTAACTAAACCAAACCCTTTTCTACTTAAATCTCTGTTTGGTAGAGGCTATTGCATAACTTGTACCGCATCTGTCTGAAAAAAATGTCATTTTAATACTTCTGACACCTCTATTGGAAACATGATTCTTTAGGCCGAAGGTGCTAACTAATTTTCATCTTTAATTGAGATATAAAATAATGGTTAAAACTTACTAAGCAGTATCTTCTAGCCTCTAATAATAAAAGCTTTTTACTTGTCTCTGTGAATAACGTTTTGTTTTAGATTTTACAGAAAAGTTTATCCTTATCTTTAGAATTTTTTTTCCATTTGTCTTTCTCTATTTTCGACCATTAATTTTACCAAACAATTGACCTATATCAATATATCTTACATTTGTGTACTTAATAATTTTCTTTTTTAAACTAGGGTTTCAGTTCAGCACGCAAAACATAGCCCAAACGCTGTCTTGCAGTTGATCTTGAAAAAACTAATTATGAACAGGATTTGGTATGATTATAAATTGATTCCTTTTTGTTATTGTGTAGGAAGTTCCGATTCTCAACCCTGTATGCCTCAGTTGGGTGCATCCTTTGGTTCAGCAGCAAAAGGAATGGGATTAAAGGCCCTTGAATTTGCTCTTTCCATGTCTGAATCAGTGGATATGTATGGTTTTACTGTTGATCCTGGCTATAAAGAATGGTAAATGAAGATTACAGAAGCCTCCAGTGTCTTTTGTTTTCTTATTCTAATGTTTAAACTAATTGGACTTAAGGAGTCTTTTTTTATCGTCTCAGGACGAGATATTTTTCAGAGTCACGACAGGGTCATACCCCACTGCAGGGAAGAGCTTACTATAAAATGATGGAATGCTTAGGGGTAATTTCCAACGTGATGTTCTGGTTGTGTTGATTTTTCACTATTCTCCTTACTAGTCTTTAATATCGATGTACTTTTTGTTATTAATTTGTTATGAACATATGAAATTTGAGGTAGTTGCATATGCAAGAACTTAGTTTTAAGAAACCATTATTAGTTTTAAGAATTGAAGTTTGAACTTGTCTTTCCTATGGTATGAAAAAACTTGGGATGCAGAACAGTTGAGAAGATGTGGATGCTTACCAAAGAAAATATGAGAAAAGGGTATGGAGTGAGAGAGGTTATATATGCTGCAAATAGTATTCTGGGTAAAAGAAGCTGCAAAAGACAATAGGCTAAAGAACCACCTATCAATTCCGATTCACCCTTCAAATAGAAAAAAGGAGGGAAAGGGCTAACATATTTACACTTGTAACTTCTAAGCAATTCACCATCATCAAGTTTGTAGTCCACATTGAAATCCCATTTTGTTGAAAGATATATTCCAAGTGCCACCCAAACAAGAAAAGAGGACATTCTAAGATTTATTTATAACTGTTTTGTGATTTCTCAAAATCAAGTAGACTCCTCCACAACTTTTAACATTAATGTTGACCTAAGACTTATGGCCCTTACCAAGGACATAGATAGGAGTGTTTGGAGAGCTAGGACAAGGGTAGTGAGATAGGCTTTTGGGCTTGGTGGCTATTTCTGCACTTGTCTATCTGTGCTTTCTTTGCTTGTTTTTTTTCTTCGTTAGCCTTAGTTTGCTCTTTGCTACTTTTTCGCTCTATGATTTCCGTGCTCACATTGCTGCTTGTGTTAGTCAAGCTAGGGGTCTTATGGAAACATCCTCTCTCCTTTTGGATAGGGGTAAGGTCTACGTATTTTCAAATCAGGTTGTTGAAAGCAAAAACCTTTGAAAGAAAGATCATGCTACTCATTAGCCTGAACTCCTTAACTAGCGTCAGACCAGTAAATCATAAAAAGAAGAGTAAATTGTTTTTTGGTGGCACCATGGTTGTGTTGGTGGGGAGGGAGGGGGGTCTATATTTAATATGACTCCGGAGTCTAGCTACATTCAGATTCTTTGAGTGAAGCTCTAGCTTGGAAGATGATTTTATTTTCAATAATATATCGACTAATGGTCTTCAGAAATGTTCCATAACTATTTTGTGATTGCACTGCTTTTTTAACAAAAACCTAATGAGGGATGTTGTGAAGAAGGTTGGGGTGAAAGTGCTCGCGTATTACATCTAGAAACTTATTCATCAGAAAGTATGTGGCAGTTTAGTTTCAGACATTTCAATTGGCATTTAACATAATTTATAGATGCTACTACTTCATATACTTTCCAGTTTCCACAATCCTGAAAAGTTTAAACTTCAAACTTAGATAATTTTAGACAATTATATGATATTATGATGTGTTCTGTATAAATTTCTGCATCTATCAATGAAATATTTCCATTCAACTAATAAGTCAAACATTTCCTTTGAATTCCATTTTCGGTAAGCTAAGCAGGGGACATTTTATCAGTGTAGCCTGTTTGTGAGCTACATGTATGTTTCCGATTGTTGACATTTTCTACCTTTGTAAATTAAGCTTATTAAAATACATTCACCAATGCGAGCCGATCCAAATCGTGTAGTTGACTGGTTACCAAGCCGCTGCTTGATTACTGCTGCCAGAGTTGCTTCAGAGAAATTATTAAGGTAGTTGATACTGCTTCCTTTCTTCTATCTGCCAATACTTATGAGCAATCTTGTTCAAGTCTTACACTATGTTTGGTTTAAGGAATTTGGAAGGAAAAGAAAAGAAAATACTTCTCTCATTTTCCTCGCCAAAATGGGAGAAATTTAGTTTTCCCTGTTCTTAGTACATTTTTCTTTCTCATTTTCTTTTCCTTCCACTTTTCTTATCCTCTCTAACCAAACAAAGAAAAAATGTTTTCATCCTATTTCTTTTTCCTTTCCCTACCAAAATCCACAAACCAAACACAGTTTTAGTGTTTGGTGTAAATCATGATTGAATACAGCCATAACACCGAATATCTAAATTCATAACCAATTTAATAATTACTGACAAAAAAAAACAAGTTTCATTTGATCAAAGCATCATTGGTAGGGTAGAAGGGTAAAATTATCACTGTCCCTAAATTAAATGTATCACATTTGGTAGGGTTTTGGTAAAAACCCTACCAAATGAATTATTGCTTTCCTCTTAACACACTCTTTGATCCAAAGAATTCGGAAAGGACAAGAAAATAAATATAAAAAAGAAGCAATTTTGGTTTTTGGTTAGAGAGGAAAATAAACAAAAATTGGGAGAAAAAGAGAAGGTTAAGAAAATGTAAAATGGAAAAGTTATTTTAACTTCCATTTTTGTGAAGAAAATGAGGGAAAAAGGCAAACTTCTCCCCCTCTTTTTTTTTTTTTGAGAGGAACAGGGAGAAATTAGGATTTTGTTTTTTTTCCTTTAACATTTTCTTTTCCTAACCGTTTTCCCAAACCAAACATAATGTAAAGGAAATGAGTGATAATTTAGGGACTGGAGAAAAAAAAAGAGAAGGAATATAATTTAGGGACACCAGCACTATCTAAGTTTAAACAAATCTCACAAAATATTGGAAGATTTTAGGACATTCCTTCGCCCGACGGAGCATAATTAATATTATTGGGACAAATGTTTTTTTATCACCCGACTTTCTTTTTGGACATAAGGAGTAATCTGATTTTTTTGGTACACAATTAGGAGGGTTGGTTCTGGATCAATGGATCCATTGGCGAAATGCTCGATCATCACAAAGCAAGCGAAGGGAAAGGTTAGAGAAATGTCAAGGCCGAGACAATCCGCTATAGACCACCAGAAACACGTAAAAGGAACAGTCTTTTACTTCTTGGAGCATAACCCCGGGCACGGTCAGCTCTGTGCAGTCCGGTCAAGCTGACCAGTCCTGTTTTGAATCTGATTCCGAGGACACGTTCCGGTTTCTGATTGCCATTTAAAGTGGTCTGGTGAATGGGAAGCTCAGAAGTTCTTGTCACATATGGTATGTCTGAATATTTATACACTCACCATTTGCTTTAATTTGAGCGTTTTCCGTGTTTACGGCTCTAAGATAAATTGTTAAGGAGGGATTTTTTTTATTGTTTTCTAAAGAAGAGAGATCAATAGGCTCTAAGATAGTTACCTGAAATGAGATAATATATGAAGCTCTAATCTGATCATTAGGGAGTGGCATATGTTCATGTGAAAATACCAATTGTAATACTTTTCTCCGGTTGATTCTCATTTGGTGTATTTGTATTGTTTTCTTTTTGCGGTTTGCATTTGCTCACTTTATTTGTGGGAATATTTGGACCTCATTTTAACAAGTTTGCCTCTTGCAAATTTCTACCAAATCTTCTCAGTCTCAAATTAATCTTCTTTATTTTCATTTTGGACAGTCTTAAACAATTTTTTTCTTTCCTTTTTTGGAGATTTTTTGTGGTGGCTTTTTTTCTTATATCACTTTCAACCACAATTTCATACTCCGTATTTCTTACATTTCATACGAAGTCTAACAAGTGACATTAAATTGGTACTGAGGGAGTAATAAATATGGGTAGATTGCTGGTTCTGAGTGGGTTAGCACCAGTAGCTTTAGAGTGTTTAATCAATGGCCTAAGATCAATAACAAAAGAGGCGTCAACAATGGATACTGAATCTGTACCAAGACTTGCTTTTTCCAATTAGAAAAGTAAATATTGATATGAAGTCAAAGAAATCATTTCAAACAACAAAGTGAAAAATGCATGTGGTGGATATGTACAATAGCTCCAACCCTTTGTGTCGTCTGTCTGCATTGTTTGCATTATTCTTTTTTCAAATGATACATATACTGCATTCACATTTCAGGTAATAAACACCTTATGATCCTACATTGAAAGATTAAATGTTTAGAGAGTATAGTACACATGACTATACAATACAATAGTCTAAAGTCTTAACCCAAGCAATTATTGCAGAAAATTATACTCACAAAAGGGAAAGCTGGAGAGAAAAGGCAAGAGAGAGACAGGTGTGATGAAACCAATTACACTTACAGAAGTGGATTCCGGAGAGAAAAGGCAAGATAGATAGGTGTGATGAAACCAATTACTCTCCTTTTTATCTCTCTCAAATTTTGAACAACTTTTCACTAATAAAAGAGTTCGTTAGTCCATAATTCTCAAGCCACAAACGTGTATTGTTCAATATGATTCCCACTTGTGGTTGTGTTTAGTGTTTTATCAGTATACATAACATCATAAGATACTATTAAAAATAAATCATACAACTCAATAGTTTTAGATTTGTAGAATTATCCCTATCATGACACCAACATATTCCTTTGTCACTAATGGTTGCAGGAACAACAGCTTAAGAAGAATACTGATTATAACTTACAAAATGAATGGTAAGGTACCTCTTTATGTGTCCTTTTTCTTTGGGGTGGATCGAATAGGCTCTTCGTAAAACATTTATCAGTAAAGCTTTCTAAAGAACGTGAGAATGCCTCGTTGTTTTGATGATGATGATGATGAATTGATGATTGCCCATTTTTCTCCTTTTCATGTCACCCCCATAAAGGCTACATCGATCTGGGAAAGAACACCAAATTGTAGTACTTGTCAGTAGTATCGTTTTAGTATTTCAAAAAGAAAAAAAAAGCTTAGCTTGAAGCCTATTGATATCATAGATTTTGAGGTTAAGGATCACAGGGCTTTTCATAGCAACTTAAAGCTGAATATTTATGGAGTATAACAATTCTAAGACTTATCTACTATGATATTTTCAAACTTTAGGCATATAATATATATTAAAAAATTTGATGCATTCAATGAATGGCATAAATATTTGCACCTAAAATCTGCATTTCTACTTGAACGTTATCAAATCATGCATATAAATCATATTCAAACATCACAAAAGAGTAAAATTAAATATGAAAAAAGGAATTCTTATTCATAGGTTGCTTGAGAAGTCTAGATTAAAAAATGAATTTAAGAGCGGAAAAAATACCACTTTAAAATGGCAGATCCGTTGTTGTATTAGTGTGATGTCATCGACCTATAGCAAGAATTAAAACCAAAGACATTCTCCCTACAACAAAGAAAAGAGGAAGAGCACGGGAAATCCTCCCATACATATAAAGAAGATTCAATAGAAAACATTGTCCCTAAATCCTAGCAATATGCTCTCCCTCCGTCCCATTTTATAACGCATGTTTCGGTTTACGATGTTTGACTGAAATTATTTTCAAATCATTTTATATGACAAATGGTATATAGTTAAAAAATAAAAATTACATATTAAAATACTACATTAAAAGATCTACAAAACTAATAGTGACAATAATACTTTATTTTATCAATTTGCTAACGAAAATTGAGAAAGAAAGTGAATGAAGTTTGACCATGTGAATAGTAAACATGCATTATAATTTGGGACGGAGGGAGTATGTCATAGTCAGGACTTGCTGCTTGAATATAATCGTCTGAGTTGAAACCCTAGCACAGCATAACCATCTCTCCTCCCTACCTAGTTATCTCCTCGATCTATCACGTCATCTCCCTCCCCACACTAGGGATGCTTAGCGCATGATCGATGGCAAAGAAAAATCAGGCACAGTTAAGAAGGTAGCTCTCCTTAGATTTGTGTGACGAAAACGCGGCTTTTGCGTTATCCAGCAATCGTGAGTATGCTTATGCGAGTGATAGTGGGTTGACGGTTGATATAGCATTTGAGTGACAGTTTCAAGAGCAACGGTTTACATAAAAAACCTTGCATTCTCCTCAGTGTTGGAACAACACATCAATATGTGTAAAATCATAAGTAGGATGCTCCATCGTTTGCACATCGTTAGTCTGACAACTTAACGTGATCCGCTCTACTCCTATGTAGATCTCAGTTGTTCTCAAGATGGCTTATTTTGAGGTTGCAAGAAACAGTTGAGCAATGAGGATAAAAATTGATCAGGTAAAGATTTAACCATATACTCCACAGAAGAGAAGAAGAATGGTACCTGGAAAAATGATCAAAAGAACAATTTGACCCTTCATTGTCATGGCGGGACACCATGACTATCCGACCTGGCCACGAACGCCTCTCTTATAAATGTAAAAAATCTTAAAATTAAATACTACTACAAATATATAGCAATTAAATTAGAGGTGGACCCACCTTGAGTCCTATGGGGTCCCGGGACCCCATAGCCCCGGTGTAGGTCCATATAGGTATTAGGTTTGTAAACATATAAATATATAATAAATGCGTAGCTTCTAAAACGTAGAATAGGGTGTGGTGTAGTGGTAGTGGGGGAGTAATGAAGGCCAAGACATTCGAGTTCCACTCTCAATGCGCTCCCATGGAGTGAAGTTTTTCTTTTTTTACAAAACAAAACATGGAGTCAAACGACGTTGTTTTCGCAAAATTGACCTTTGCAAAATTTACCTTTGCGTATCTTCTCTCCTCCACCCCTATTTTCTACTCCCTCCCTCTAAGATGTTCTCATTTTGACTTTTGGTGGTTTTTAAGTAGATTTGAAAAAAGTGAAAGTTTACCATAATACTCTTAATGAAAATTGTATTAAATGAGGTGGCGAGGTGTAATAAATAAAGTAAGTGGGGATACTTGTGTATTTTACTTGTTAAAATACACAAGTATTAAAAAGGGCTATTAGAAAGATCTATGGGGGATAGAGAGAGTATTACATTAATGTTAATTTTATGTTTAATTTATGTAATTTATATTAATTTTTTATTCAAAATTGACCTAATTTATATTAATTTTTTATTAATAGAATTCCCCAATTCTCTATTTTGAATCTTTGATTTTGAACCCTAACTTTTGCAATTCTCCGTCTCTCTTTCCCGTCGCCCGCCGCCTCTGTTCACCATTCCACCGAAATTCGACAATACTCCACAGCGGCAGCCTCGACATGTAATAAGTCTAAAAAACTTTTCTTTATTTTACTAAAATAAATTTTTATGGTAGTTTGAAGTTTGAAATATGATTAGTAATATATTACTCCCTCCGTCCCGGAAAACATGGGAGTTTTGATTTTGAAGGGGGATTTTTGGGGAGTGTATTTTGGTATTGAATTTCCAAAAATGTCCTTTGATGTGATGTGTAAAAGTATAATTTGATGGATAGATTATTAGTAAAAAGTAAGGGGTAAAAGTGACTTTTTAATAGAAACGAGAAGTGTTTTTTGGGACGGATGGAAAAAGAAAGGAGAAAGATTTTCTGGGACGGAGGGAGTAATATATAATAATTTATAAATTTATTTTTTATTCATTACTTATTTATTAAAAATCAAAGTTTTTTCTTCAATAAAAAATTGATTTAGGATTGCAAGTGATAAGTATTATTGTATTAATGTTCATTTTATGTTTAATTTATGTAATTTATATTAATTTTTTATTAACAGAATTCCCCAATTCTCTATTTTGAATCTTTGATTTTGAACCTCAACTTTTGCGATTCTCCGTCTCTCTTTCCCGTCGTCCGCCGCCTCTGTTCACCGTTCCACCGAAATTCGACAACACTACACAGCGACAGCCTCGACATGTAATAAGTCTAAAAAACTTTTCTTTATTTTACTAAAATAAATTTTTATGGTAGTTTGAAGTTTGAAATATGATTAGTAATATATATATATATATATATATATATATATAATAATTTATAAATTTATTTTTTATTCGTTATTTATTCATTAAAAACCAAAGTTTTTTCTTCAATAAAAAATTGATTTAGGATTGCAAGTGATAAGTATTATTGTATTAATGTTAATTTTATGTTTAATTTATGTGATTTATATTAATTTTTTATTAACAGAATTTGAAATGCAAAGGTATTTCAAAAAGCTACTTAAATTCTAAGATTTGGAGTCAAGCAGAATTGGTAACAATGTTAGTGCTCGGGTGTCTCGAGTACAATTGTAAATGATACTCCCTCCGTCCCACTATATTTGTCCACTTTCATTTTTGCACATCATCTAATGCACTTCTTTAATCCATTTTATCTTGTAATTTGTATATTAAAAAATTATAGAAATTATATATTAATAATCTATATGTTACGACAAATCAAATTAGATCACACATGACTATATTTAGGCTTGCACATTGAGAGAATTTGATGAGTCAAGGGTTTAGGTGAACAGTTACAAAAGTCAAAAGTGAACGAATATAGCGGGACGGAAGTAGTATTATTTTTGTATGAGGTTATTTCTATGTATTAATGATGGTACTTTTCAAATATTAGTTTTTGTTTATTGTTAAATGTTAAGAATTATGATGTTGTTTGAGATGAGAATGGGAAGTAGAGAACCCCATGATTGTAAAATCATGGATCCATCTCCGAATTAAATTAGAAAAAATAAATGGCGTAACCTCTTCCCCAAATCGGCCCTTCTTCTTGTTCTCCAATTGGGTACCTATTATTCTGTAAAAAGCATGCGGATAGATCCACAAGATTCCACCAACGTCCCAACGATCAGTGTAAACTTTTAAGATCAAATTCCTAACAATGTAAAACGTGTTCGTTGAACACGAAATAGTTTATCCCAATTAAAGTTGTGTTCGGCGAACACAACTTTGACTCCCTAATTAAACTTGTGTTCAGCGAACACAAGTTGTTCTTTTTAATTAAATTGCAATAGTTAAACGTTAATTTAACGGAGTATAACACAATTAAATACTCCCTCCATCCTTGAGTATTTGTCTACTTTTGACTTTTTTGGTTAAAACTTGTAAACTTTGATCTCAAATTAAATAAAAATTGTATTAGATATTGATACGAAAATAGTTTTGTTAGATTAATTATATGAAATATTTTCAAAATATTATTTTATCTAATTAAAATACAATATATATTTTATTGAATTATAAATCAAAGGTTAAAAATGATGGACTGAAAAAAGTCAAAACTGGAAAAATACTCAGGGACGGAGGTAGTATATGGTGCATTGGTTGAAACTACAATTTATATAACACAAAAAACATAAGTACATAACACAACCAAATTAAAACAAAACAAACACTTAATATTTAAAAGCAACATACACTAATATTTAAAGATAACATACACTAAATATTAAGATGACAACAAAAAATGATAACATGTAGTACGCGTAGTTTCTAATGCTTTGATCCTTCCATTGTCCTTTCATCTCATTTTCCCTAGAAGCGTTTTTGTCTGCGGCGACTAGAACGCAATATGTAACGCCCCAAAACATACCCTAGAATTATTAATAAATAATTATTCGAATAATCAAATTTATTTTGATTAAAATAAATTGTTATTGGCCTTTGTGCCGAAGTAAACTATGTATTGATATCTAATAAATATAATTGGGATAAATCTCATAGATATAAATCCAACTTGATTGACTTATTGTGTGACCTCTATTGGGATCCAGAGTACAAACTCAAATCAAGGATAAATGAAGAAATTATTGTGATATGAACTTTGAAATAAATTCTTGAAATAACCCATGAGAATAAATTAAATGTGAGAACCTTTGATAATAAAGGTCAATTAAACCAATTTTGACGCTGTCAAAATCAAACACCCAAAAATATGATGTCGGAAAAAGTATTACGAAAAATATAAAAATTATATCGTTGGATATAGTTCGACTGTCTGATCGCAATGGTGCAAAAGGAATTCAATTCGGAGAAACTTGGACCAAAAAGAGTACCCTAATTGTGTAATGCCAATCAAGGCCACACAATAAGTCAATAAGATTGGATTTATCTCTATGAGTTTTATCCCAATTATGTTTATTGGATATTAACATATATTTTATTTCGGCCCAAAGCCCAATAATAATTTAAATTTAATTATGAAATGATTTGTAGCATTAATGATATCTAAAAGAACTCTAAGACATACCCATTTAAAGAATTGATGTTAAGGCTATCTAGAAAACCTCTAGAATAGATATCATATTAGTATGGATTTGTGAAACATGAATTAACAATGATTGGATGAAAATGAATGGAATTTGTCGACCAAACTGGTGAATCATTTGTTTGGAAATACTTTGAACTAATGATGATTAATCACTGTATTGTTGTTGCCTTGAACTAATTATAGTTTAAGCGTATGAGAATTGTTGTTGTTTTAAACTAATTAAAGTTTAAGGAGTTAAGTGCAACGTTTACCCCCAAATTCTTTGAAAATTACATGGTTTACCCCCAAACATTAAAAATGTGCACCAAATACCCTTGAATTCTCCAGAAATTGCACGATTGACCCCTGAACAATAAAAAGTGCACCAAATACCCCTGAATTCTCCAAAAATTGCACAATTGACCCCTAAACAATAAAAATTACATCAAATACCCCTGAACTCCTCGGAAATTGTACTGTTTACTCCTGAATATTTAAATAAAGACGACAATTTTGGGTAAAGGTACTTTAGAAAATTCACAAAGGTCAGATGAATCATATTCACAATTCTTGTACGTGGAAGCAACGCACTCCATATCCAATAGTTTAGGACCAACGATGCAACGTTTTAATTTGTTCAATGGTATTTGGTGCATTTTTTAGTTTGTAGGATTAAATCGTGCAATTTTCGAAGAATTCGAGGGTAATTGGTGCACTTTTTAAAGTTCAAGGGTAAAACATGTAATTTCTAAAAAGTGCGGGAGTAAACGGTGCACTTAACTCAAAGTTTAATCGTCCAAGAAGTATTGTCTTAAACTAATTAAAGTTTAAACATTGCAGAATTAATGCCTTAAACCAATTCTAGTTTATGATATGTCAAAATTAAATTGCAGCACAATATTGTTGAAAACAAATTTGACCAACTTGGGGAATCTGACGCAACTCGTGTTCTGCACACGATTTTAATTAATATTGGAATCTGACGCAACTCGTGTTCGGCGAACGCGATTTGAATTAATATTTCAAACTCGTGTTCCGCGAACACGATTTCAATTAATATTTCAAAACTCGTGTTCGCCAAACCCAAATTTCACTGATAGGAAATACTTTTCGAAATTTGGAATTTGTATCGTGCTTTTTTCACTGAACAAGAAACCACCCTCAGTTCTAAGGGGGAAAACCTGAGGAGGCGCTGAAGAAGTTAGAAAAGTTGTTAGTTGAGTAGTGCTCTGCGCTGCAGTTTAGGAGAGAGACAAAGTATGGGCGGTTTAATTGGACAAGTTGCCTGTTTCAGGTTCCGTAAAGACTTTGGATTGTAAATTATTCCTGCTGCTTATTGTAAATAGGAACTAAGAACTAAGAATAGGATAAAACTAAGAACTCTAACCTATTCAATCAAAACAAAAATTATTCGACAGTTCCCTGCAAATCCATAAAAATAGACCACAACTATTCAAATAAATTCAGAACTATTCGAATAATTCTCAATTTTGAGAATCTTACCTTGCAATTGACTTAAAACAACTTGAATCAGTTTTGGAAAAACATTTTCAAGAAAGGAAAGCAAGTAACGTGCCATGCATATTAAGACCAACTTCACGTCAATTACATTGTGCACCAAACAGATAAATAATTAACTCAAAAGCTCCAAATTACATTCATAATAAGACAAATTCAGGTCAGTGCATCAAATAGATTCAAAAGCTCCACAAACAGTCTTTGGCTACTTCATCAAATCTCAAGCCTTCTTCGAACAATTCATTGCAAAATTGACTACTTCATCAACCCACAAGCCTTCTTCTTGTCATTTATCCAAAATCCAACTTTGGCTTTGATTCCTTTCGCTTTTTCCTTCATGTCATGCAATGCTTTTCTTTTAGTTGTTTTGTCAACTTCCAAATAGAATTTTATTGGTTCAACTTCGCATAACTTCGCATAACAAACCAAGAGTGTTTCGCAATGTGTGAAGATTTGGAATCTCACAATCTCGTAGTGTAGTGGACATTGCCGAACTATCCAAATGCACAACCCAAATGCACAGTTGTCCCTGAGATACAATACTCAATCCAAGTTTCAGAAAGAGCACTCCAATTATGTACCAACACATGCAGATTTGGAAAGATCTCATCGGTTTTCACCCCTTTAAAGTATTCCACATTTACCTCGTTTTTCACATGACGTAAGAGATTTTTATCTGGCTTCTTCCCAAGGAAGATCATCATATCCTTCTTTGGGCAAGGCATATGACAAATCTCCTCCCTGAAATATTGCACGCACTATCTCAGCTTGGATGAGAACAAAACTAATGATTTGATGAAGTAGCCAAACTAATGATTTGATGAAGTAGCCAAAACTAATGGTTTGCTGTGCGAAGTTGACCCAATGAAATTCTATTTGGAAGTTGACAAAACTAAAAGGAAGGCATTGCATGACATGAAGGAAAAAACATAAGGAACTGTTTGTATATGCTCTAAATTTGTATCTGCAGTCAAAATTTGTATCTGCTTTAAAAGTCAGAGGCTTCCGGAATGCCTTCATACTTTGTTCCATCATCATTCGCTAAAACCCTTATAAATTTAATAACTTCACTAAAATTAAGAGCCAGGGGCATGCAGGGATTACCAAGGACCAACTCAGCCGTGTGGTTTTCTTCATAAGGCCTGGAAAAATTTTATTGATACAGAGATCATATGAAGGGCAAAAACATCCAAAATTAAACAACATACTAAATTAAATGTATGATTTATGAAACAGGCAAGTTACTCCAGTTAGATTCTTGGAAAAATTTTTATTGATACAGAGATCATATAAGGGGCAAATACATTCAAAATTAAACAGATATAATCAATGCATGATTTTTGAAACAATCTAAAACGAGTAAATTAAACAATAAACTCAATGTACAAGTTTGAAACAGTCAAAACCGTGTAAATTAAACAATAAACTCAATGTACGATTTTTGAAACAGTCCAAACCAATTAAATTAAACAACAATATCAAAGTATGATTTTTGAAACAGGCAAGCTCCTCCAGTTAGCTTCTTAGGCCTGGAAATTTTTTTATTGATGCACAGATCATATAAAGTGCAGGAATATTCAAAATTAAACAGATAAACTTGATGTATGATTTTTGAAACATTCCGAACTGAGAAAATAAGCAATTACATTTTTGAATACAGTGACAACAAGAGATCTAGACGTCGGGAATTTTTTCTCAAAAAACGAATGCTCCAATCTGACCTAGCTGGCGAGTCCCAGTTCGCGACAGAGAACAAGACTGAAAACGGGCTTTTAAAAGAGCCTGGTAAAATGGATGGGCTGTAAAACGGTAAAGGGGCCTAGGGGAGCAGCAGGCCGGGTGATTTGAAAAATTTTTATACTAAAAGAAAGAATTTGACTTTTCTCAATCCATTTTATTTAAATAATAGTCTACAAATAAAAAAAAAAACTTACATTTTTAAAAACTAGATCAAAAATTCTACAAAACAGGTTGTAACGAGAACATTTTATTTTATAGAACAATCAATGAAAATGTAAAAATAAATAAAAATTGCCATGATTTTAAAATGCTGCTTATATTTTGAGACGGATCAAATAGAACTTAAATAAAAAATAATTATGGATATGTGATATTACATTCAAAATTATAAAAAATTTAATTTGTAAGGACGAGAAATAGATATAAATAAAGAATTAAATCCAAATCCGAAAATTAAAATCCAGATTTGACTTGCATAATAAAACCTTAAAATTAAACCTTATTTACAAAATAGTTACATTAATTTTCTATAAGAAGTTAAAATCAACACTTTCAGTTTATAATCAGATTTTCAAAATATATATTCCATTAAACAAATATTTAAAAAAAGTATTGAATAAAAAACGTTAAAAAAATTAACAAAAATTATTTTGTGAATAGAGTAAGAACTGATAACATACCTCAAAAGGCTTCAAGTAGAGAAATAATATTGTGAATCAAAGCTTTTTTATCTTGATTTCTTGAATAGATCTTAGGGAGAGAAGAATGACAAAGATCATCTCCAACGAATACCAAACAGTCAAAGAAAGAGCATCTCCAACCTTATCAATATGACATGCTAAAACTTATATAATAGCAAGTGAGTCTATGTATATTATAGGACACTAGTCAAAAAGTAAAATTGACTTGCTAAACATAGCATGCCACCCAAATAATAGCAAGCCAAAAAAATTAATAAAAAATTAAATCAAAGGTCCAAAAAAGTAATCTCATCATGAGAATAGAGAGAGACACTAGAAAAATCTATTCTTGGTTAAAATTTAGCAAGCATGGTTGGAGAATGGAGGAAAAACCTAACAAGCATGGTTGGAGATGCCCATAATCGGAGAGAGGAGAAGATGAGAGTTGTAGTGCGTTTGATCCAACAACCTCTTGGCTTTATATATAGCGTGAACGGACGAGACAACTTAATTAAGGTTGGCTATTCACATCCCTCTTCTCTCCTTTTATTACTCCCTCGGTCCCCTGTATTTGTCCAAATTCTCTCAATGTGCAAGCCTAAATATAATCATGTGTGATCTTGTTTGATTTGTCTTAACATATAGATTATTAATATATAATTTTTATAATTTTTTAATATATAAATTATAAGATAAAATGGATTAAAGAAGTGCATTGGATGGTGTGTAAAAATGAAAGTGGACAAATACAGGGGGACAGAGGGAGTAATTGTTATAATGGGTTAAGCCAAAAACCCCTTATGTTTTAAAAAGTACTCTATCTGTTCTTAAATATTCACAACATTTGCTTTTTCAATCGCGGGAACTTTTGTTTATTTTGCAGTTTTCATTGGTTATTTGATAAAATAAAATATTCTTGGCACCTCTTATTTCAAAGAACTTTTCATGTAGTTTTTTGATATGAAAATTTTATTTTATTTCTATACCAATATAATACTCCCTCCGTCCGGTAATAAACTTCTTACTTTGACTTTTCCTCATTTTTAGTGAGAATTGATTTTAAGAAGGAAATGTCCAAAATACCCTTGTAACCCTGCCCTAACCCCTCACTGCCCTAGAACCCCTGGAGGC